CCCCCCCTCCCCCGCCGTACCAGCCGCAGCCGGACCTCACTCAATATAGTGTGTCTCAATTTTCATGAACGCGCGATGAAAACTTGAGGATAGACAATCTTGCGTGGCTCTTCAAAAGGGGTCAACATTGTAGGCCCCTCCTCGCACCTCACAAAACATAAAGACGATGGGTCGCCCCGGCTACGTGCGTGGCTGTGCTGGACCGACAGAGGAGGATGCACAGCTCTTTTTCGTTTATTTTTATTTTTCGCAATAAGAAAAGTTCGCGATGCCAAATCCCCTCGTCGTGCTGTAGTCCGGTTGTTGATCTCAGCTGCAGCAGGAACAGGTTTTGGACCGGGACGCTCGCCAGGCCTCTGCGCAGAGCCTTAGCTCAGCCTCCCTACGCAGCGCCTGCTTAAGGCTGCTTTGACTCCTCACACACACTCACAAGGTCAAGATCGCTCGCGGCCGTGCGTGAAACGGAGCCGCGAAAAGATTCTGTTATTGTTGTTGCCGGCGAGTCAGCGGTGCGTAGAGCACGCGCGGGCGGCACGCGGGGGGCCCTCCAGCCGCTCCATACCCCACGCCCCCGCGAGCTCGCGAGCACTGCACACGGCACTCCAGAAACCGGACTCATCGGGACCCATTATAACACCACGCAAATTACGATGTTGCAATAATACAGTAAATAATTGGCGATAATCAGGGAAAGAGAAAGAGATAGCGGCGGCCGGCGGGGGGCTCAATTGCGGAGCATCGATCGGATTGATGACAGCGACCGCGCGGCCCGTCCGCCTCAGGCTATACTCGCAAACTTTTTAAAATTTTACAGTTCAGCTTACCTTCTTGTAATTCGTCGTCCCAGAGCGGGGGTGCGTCCTCGGGGTCGGCCAGCACGATGAGGTCGGCGTCGACCGCCAGGGCCAGGACGCCGAGGACGCCGAGGACGCCGAGGACGCCGAGGACCTGGTGGGCCCCGGCGAGGGCGGCAACGGTCCACCGCATGTTGACTGCTCGGATGCGCGTCCACTCGGACACTGGGCTGGAGGCCGGCGGCTCCAGCTAACATATTCTCCCCGGGGTACCCCGCCTCGCCTTACCCCGCTCCAGCCCGCAACGTCGCGCACCGACGCGCCGTGACGTCGCCGGGGTTCCCAGCAGCCAACCCCAACAGGTTCACGCCGAAAGACCCCCCCCCTCCTATATCTGTCATCGAGAGAAGAGAAATGGATCTGGTTCACGACTTAAATAGCTTGGCGCCGCGGATCCAGCCGCCGGCCAAACCATACGTTTTGCCTACATTCTGACGGATTGTAGCACAAAGTTGCGCCTAACATCGTGCCCCCTTCCAGATATACACACCTGCTCAGAATCACAATTGTTGACCATTGGCCATTGCCAAACGCGTGCAAAAATCTCACGTATTATTTGCAATTCGATACAGGGACCAAAGAGTATTTGACAAGAGACGCCAAAGGCCTCCATATACACACAATCACCCACAAAAAGGAAATAAACCAATGTAGCGCGCTATCAAAAACAAATATGTCAAAATAATGAGATTGTCTCGCGCTTGGGCGTAACGAGTGACCCAGGGGTCACAACGCAGCCCAGCTCCCCCC